TTGGAGTTCATATCTTTATTGTACATAAAATCGATAGATTACATTTTAAATTTTATTTGCTAAACTGGTGCCATCACTGCTCACCTTCCAGCACTAAGCAAAGCCTTTTTTAAAACAGGCATTTTTAGTGACCATTTCAGTTTTTAATATTGTTTAATTTGTTGCTGCTTCTGCACTGTGACCTTTTGCCATGAATATCAGATTTTATATTTTTAAGGGATTTTATTCTTGTACCATCGATTTTATTGCTTTAGTTTATTGTTCCATTGTTTTTATTATTGTTTGCTCAGGCTTTTATTGTAAGTTGCCCAGATAGCCCTTTGGGCTATATAAATATAATAAATAAATATGAAATAATGCATCTGCTTATTGAGGGAGAAAGTGTGTTAGGGAGTAAAAAATAAAATAAGCATGCTAAATCACATAACTTTAGATTCATAGAACAGTAGGAACAAGAGGCACCAAAGCATTGGAAATTTAATTCTACCTTTCACAGAAAACCCACACCACTAATTCAATTAGACATCATACTTTACGGTTCTTAACTTATACTAGGAATTGTTTGCCTGAAATTTGGCCAGTGGTCCATGTGGTGTTGCCTGACACAATTAATGCACACAAAGAGATTCCTTGTGTGGTGAAAATGAGATGAACCTTGTGCACTTTGCTTCATAAGTTATGGTAAAACAATTTACTTTTCCATGTGTCCCCCACTCTTACATCTCTGATGAAATCAAAAACATATACTTGGGTTTTAATTTTTCAGGGTTTCATGTCATGCCCAAAATCAGAGTACTCTAACTTTAACTAGTGAATCATAGTTTATGATTCAGACCTAATCATTAAACAAATCAGAATTCCACAAATTCAGGCATAACAGAATGCCTGGCAAGTTGAAACCAGAAGCAGGTATTTCTCATCTATTCTCCCTGGTGTGCACCAGATAAGAGGGTAACACTGAGTATGCAAATATGTACATAAAATACTAAACCATGGTTTAAAATAGCCTTGCATCCAAATCAATAGCTGATAATAGAAAATCCCAAGCACTCCAAGCAAAGTCATGGGGCCAAATGTTGTGCACATTGATTTAAAGGAACAACAACTGTATATATATTTCCCTGAACACTTAGATTATGTTCATATGTCTTCTTCCAGATGTCCTTGCCAAAGGAACTTGGATGGTTGGCTTCAAGAGGCCCCATTTATGGAATGACTTCCCCACTGTTTCTTGCTTGATGGCTCCATTGTTACTCTGTTGGCCTTTAGTGTCTCAAGCAATTTGGAGTTCAATGTTTATGGCTGTTTGCATATATTTTATTCCTGTGTTGTTCATTATTTTGTTTTATTTTATTATTTTAGCTTTTATATTATCAAACATAGAACCACCAAACAAGAAACAGTTGTGTAAAGACACTAGATAAGGATCATGAATTTCAGGCCGTTTCTATGGGAACTTTTTTTGATACCCTTACTTCAACCTGTTTTACAGACTCCAAGTCCAGAGTTGGATTCAGAAATAAACTGGAAGCTGATAGAGCAGTTTCAGGCCAGGATATGGCCTGTAAAACCAGAAAGGAATCTGAGCACTAATGAGTGATGGATCACTGTAGCCAGCCTCATACATCAATGCACAGCTGCCCCACTTGCCAAAACTAGGCAGAGATATTCCTGGCCATCACTTCCACCCAACCATCCAAGATTCAATGCTGGATCCAGAAGAACTCCCAAACTGTGTACTTTAGAGAGACTGCTTCCACATCTTATGTATCATGAATTTTATGGTTTCTAGACCAGTATCACTGCTTAAATTAAATGAAACCAAGGCTTTCACACTAGCAACATTAGTAAGAAGAATCATCCCAGCTTAAAGTATGACATAATTATGGGAACATGCAGAATGTACATATGCTAACAATTCTAACATTTATATAGGGGGCATGTCTTAAAGAGGGATGCAGGTGGTGCAGTGGTTTAAACTGCTGTACTGCTGGGCTGGTTGACTGAAAGGTCATTGGTTTGAATCTGCACAACGGGGTGAGTTCCTGTTGTTCCGTCCCAGCTCCTGCCAACCTTGCAGTTTGGAAGCGTGCAAATGCAAGTAGATAAAAAGGTACCACTTTGGTGGGAAGGTAACAGCGTTCTGTGCACTTCAGTGTTTAGTCATGCCGGCCACATGACCACGGAGACTGTCTGCAGACAAATGCTGGCTCCCTTGGCTAGGAAACGGAGATGAGCACCACCCCCTAGAATCAGACATGACAGGACTTAAAATCAAGTCCTTTACCTTTTACCTTTATGTCTTAAAGGAAATTGATTCCATAATCTTTCTGATGCTAAATAGAACTCAATCTGTCTGCCTGTGTAGGGGACAGTTCAGAATCCACATTAAAAGGTAAGGGCTAAATGAAATAGCTCTGAATAGAAATACATTCAGAGCGGGGAGAATAAGTAAACTACTTAAGATATATTAGCAATATTTATAACTATTCTGTAAAGTAAGACATTATTTGCAACCCTTTCAATTTACAAAATGGCTCAAGCTAAAAGATGGTGGGATGTGTTAAAAAAAACCCTGGTCATAGCTGGTTTTATCTGATCAGAGACTTCCTAATTTTAACCACTCTGCTTCACCAATCTCTATAGTTCCTTTTTGACAGCTGAGGAAATTAACTTTTGGCAGAATCTTGATATTAAGCTCACTGATGAATGTGTGAAGGTGAGCAGTAATATGTGAAGAATAACTGCTCTTTTAGCTAATGGCATGGAACATTTGGCATGCTATATTTTGCATGTTGAGATGTGAAATCTATACTAGATCAGGTTATGCAACTGTGTTAGTTTTCTTTAATGCAATGTTTATATGTTTTGGAAAGAAAAGTGGGTTCTTTATAGATAAAGTATGTAAGTAATAAGTATTGTGTTTCTCTGTTCACACACTATCCCTTCTGGAACAGATTTCTGACAAGAAAATTATAGGATTGGTGCCCTTTGTAGAATTTATGTTGATAGATAAAGTTGCTTCCATTCAGTAAAAACACAAATTGGAACTTAAATAACTTTACTATAAGAAAGAAAAATTAGAAGTATAGCTATGTAATGTCAAAGCCATTACATCCCCTCTGGCAGCTGTCACCAAATTTGCTGTTAATGCGCTCTATATGCCACTCCTTTCTTCATGAAAAGCACAGACTGTACACTTCTTTGAAGTGAAATATTACATATAGATCTTTGCCTGAAAAATGTTTATGAGGAGTTCCTTATATGTCTTAATGCATGAATAAAATTTTACAGTATTTCATCCTTTTCAGAATTGTTCAAGATTTTCATTCTCAATACTTTCTTCCTCATTAAAGGAAGGCTAGAGCGGAAAATTTGAACAGTTCGGCTTTTCACTTGTATCTCTAGTGACATGTTTCTTCCAGGCTGAAAAATGATAGTGTATTTATCTTCTCTACAGTCAATAGTGTCTTTTATGGAAGAGACATTTTAAGTTGAAACATATTGTTTGAGAGGAGTTAAACATCCTTCCATGCTACTGCCCATGCCTAATCTCCTGCCACCAATGTTTTTTTTAATAAGAGAAGATGGTGTTTGGTTATTTGGTTATGGAACTCCCAATCACATCTGGCCCACAGAAGATCTGGAAGGCTCTCACATCACTGTCTCCTACACATATATTGAAAACTTTAGAAAAAAGCTGCAGTATTTCAACATAGAATTTCTGTTATTTTGAACAGATGTTTATCTTTTAGATTAGATTGTTTTATTTGTTTGAAGAGTTTTGTTCACTGAGACCTTGTATGATTTGTTTGACTTGTGCTTGCCAACTCATACTTCCATTCCTGCCCTGTTGTTGCATTTTGTCTTTCACTTTTCAAATTGTCATTATTCATATAAAATATTATACTTTAGCTTTCATCTGTATTTTAGGGCAAGGCTTTACAAAGTGTTTGCAATAAAAACGTTAAAAGCAATATAATAATGGATTAACTAATATGTAATAAAACAGCATCAGACTAAAGAGAAATATTTGGCGGTCAGAAGTAAATCACTAAAAAGCTTTAAGAGAATCTTAGATGCTCCAAGAGAGAATTCAAGTGGAATGATTAGGGATAGAAATTTAACAAATGCAGGCCATCAATGAATAGGCTCTATGTGTATAACTCACCTGATCAACCTAGTAGTGGGCCACAGCCCTTAAGAAGTGGCCATTCCCCATTAGAAGTGGCTCCAACAACTCTGATTGTTTAGCTTATTTAAAAAGGTGACTAAGGAGAGACAAGAAAGAGATGTTAAAATTATACATGGTATGGGGAAAGTGAGGAGGTGGCATTTTTCTCCCTCTTTCACAATATTAGATCCTGGGATCATCCCATGAAGCTGACTTATGGGATATTCCAGACAAATAAAAGAAAATACTTATTACAGTGCATATAACAATTCTGTGAAATTCTGTCCCTGGAAGCAGTGATGTCCACTAATTTGGATGGCTTTAAAAGGGGATTGGATGAATTAATGGACAAAGAATTTTCCTAACCTTAACTTTCTTGGTTATGTGCTACCTCTGTTATCAGTGGTGGTATGCCTGTATTCACCTGTTACTGAGGAGCTTGCACAGATGGAATACTTGTCCTTATCCTGCTTGAGGGATCATGTGGATAGCTAGTTTGCTGTTGTGTATGGAGTGCTGGACTGAATGGATGGTTGGTCCATGGCTATATGGCTTTTCTTATGTTCTTACATATATATTGTGAACTGCTTGGAAAACTCTGCTCAGAAGTGGTAAGTGTATTAATAACAATAGCTGATATGTTGACTGAATGAGAGGTAAATTTTCTGCAAGTGTATGAAAGTTTTTACCAAAAAGCTGTTGCCATCCAACTAATGAAGAATATTTTTTATTTCTGAAATTTGCGTTTTTAAAATATTAACTTGAAGATTTCCGTTGTAAGCTAGCAAGTAGTCAAAATGTAAACATTGCATTTCCTCATCCTCAGGTTCCCGTCTTCGACAAGAGGATTTCCCCCCTCGAATTGTTGAACATCCTTCGGATCTAATTGTTTCCAAAGGAGAACCAGCAACTTTGAATTGCAAGGCAGAAGGCAGACCAACACCAACTATTGAATGGTACAAAGGAGGAGAAAGGGTTGAAACTGACAAAGATGATCCTCGTTCTCATCGGATGTTGCTGCCCAGTGGATCTTTATTTTTCTTACGCATAGTTCATGGTCGCAAAAGTAGACCTGATGAAGGAGTATATGTCTGTGTAGCAAGGAATTACCTCGGTGAAGCTGTGAGCCACAATGCATCATTGGAAGTAGCAAGTAAGTCCTCTCTCCTTCACTGGCAGCCACTTCAATAGTCGTTGCTTGAGCGATGACGACTCCTTCTTCTCCTTCTTCTTCTTCTCCTGCTCCTTCAAATAAATTCCCTCCCTCAAAAAAGTTAGAAATTATTAGCTTTAGTATGGAAACCTATGCATATTAAGGCAGAAGTAAGTAGTATAATTCCCTGCATGTCTCAACCTGCCATGCTTTAATATCTGATGTGAATATATGGTGGTACATAGATTTGACAGTAAACACAAGCATTCTACCAGTGTATATATAATACTTCTACACACAAAGTAGACTCTGAGTATGACTACACGCATGACTATAAGTAAATAAGAATACCCAAGTTTGTTTGAAAGTGTGACTCAAGAATGTAATTGTATGAAGAAACAGTTGAAAGGAACAACAAAAGGTTCTGTCCTAAACAGACATGTAAAACAAAACAATGAATCATTTAAAAATCAGATTTAATGTGTTCAGAACTGTTCCTTTTCAAATGCAAACTCAAGTAAGGATATTCATGTTTACCTCTGTATCTACTGAAGATTGGTGCAACAGCATGGTTCTTCATTCCTTTCTCTGGGTTTGCACTGTTGATTAACCTACTCACTAAAATGCATTTAAAAATAAAATGAGGACAGGTTTGCCTATTTTATTTACTTAGTTATTACATTTCTATACTGCCTGGTCACCCAAGGTGTCAAGTAGTTCTACCCCCACTATTGTGCTTGCCATTGCAATACCTCCCTGGCAGGTTCATGTAAGCAAGGTTCTTGTTCTTATGGAACTTTTTGGGCATACCGTTGTATGTGCAAAGGCCCCACTCCCTATATAAGGTCACACTATAGGTGCTGACATCAGCAGGTGGGATTACATGACTGCAGGGGCTGAGGCAGTTTGATGTGACTTTGTCCCTTGCTCACATATTTGAGTAAGTGGATTAAGCAACACTTGAATAGACCTGGAATTTCTACCTTTGGGTCATATGAAACCATACATGCAGCTGTTCATTGTATATTTTGTGGTTGATTTAAGCATTAGCACATAAGAGTCAGTTCTGGCAGATGGTTGGTACAGTTGTATGTCTGTTTACATTCAGTGAGTGCAATTTGTTTCTGTACATTTGCTCAAAATCCAAAATAGCTGATAGCCTCTTACATGTTATAGTGTTCTAATATCTATGTTCTCTATTAAATACCATCATCTTTGCCTAAGAACTAAATTGGTAGGGTAGTGCTGCTACTGCCAATCACTTTTCAGTTTTTCAGTGGATATCTCACTAAATCATGAGTCAGCTTGATTTAGATTGCACTCAGTGCTAAATAATGGATATTTATTGGGGGGAAACTACAATCATTACACAGCCACTACAAGGTTTCAAAAGTGCTTCATTAAGACTTTAGGATAAACCAGACATATTTTAAAAGATCCCGAATGTTCACTGTATAATGACATTGCATTAAATTGCTTATTTGGTTTTAAATTAATGTCTAATCTTAGATGCATGAAATGCAGGGTGAGATCTACAGAGACTGTATTAGAATGGAGATGAAAAGTGTTCACAAATTAGGTGTATAGCTATAGTAACATTTCACAATTTTATTTGAAATTCATGGCATGGGGAAGTGGCATGAAATGATATTTTGTTATTATGTAAATCAAACACTTTTTTTAAAAAATAATTATTTTTAAAAATAACTAGGATCCAATGTAGTGTGGTTACAGTGTTGAACTGGGGACCTGGAAAATCCTAGTTCTGGTCTCTGCTTGGCTATGAAGCTTAGTGGGTGACTTTGGGCCACTCACTCAGCCAAATCCATTTCATAGGGTTTCTCTTGTGAGTATAAAATGGAAAGGAGGAAGACTTATGTAGACCACCTTGAGTTCCTCTCAAGAGAAAAAAGGTGGTATATAAAAACCACAAATAATAATTTTATACACCCTGTTCTTATCTGGTTTAAACTTCCTTGCTACTGAAAGGACAACCCTCCTCCTCCCTTTTCAGTCCTCTGGGTCAGAAATCTTGAGGTAAATAATGAATACAAAGTGCCCATACTGTGTAATGTCTCCACATTTTAATTACGGGAGTCCCTGTGGGAGTACTTATCAACATTATAGTGATGTACAGGGGCAGTTTATTCCTTTCACCTCCAGTTACAACCTCTTTGAAACTCTCCTCTCAGTTCTCATGTCTATGAACATTCTTATTGGTACAGATGATTGCTCAATAGATATATATCCAAGTTTTCAATAGAGTTAAGTCTCTACTGATGTATCTCCCATACATCATCTATTAATCCTTCCTCAGTGGGAATCTCAAACCACCCCAAGACTTAACTCTCCCATATATCTCCCATACATCATACATAATTTGTCCCTGAGTCTGTTTATCTTAACAAACAGTACCATCAACAATTTACATTTATCTTATGTTTAGGCCTTTTGATAAGCAAAGGGAACATCTGGCATTAACACTGCATGCTATGCACTGTATGTTTCTATATTGCCTTCTTTCCTACCTCCCTTTCCTTTTCTTTAGAACTATTCTAAGGAATAAAATATAAATAAAATTCTGAACATGTCAGTCCATAAGAGTATTTCAGTATTTCAATTTCTAATTATGTATTCTTTTCTATGTGAATCTTTAATGATTAATAAGAAAAATTCCTTACTATTTTTGGTGATATTGTACATACAGTTGTAGGTTATTTCTGAGGTGAATAGCTTCAATGAAAGCCCAGTTGAAATATGTTTATTAAAAATAAAAAGTATCAAATACTATGAAATATGCTATAACTGTTGCAGTAGATGGAGTACTGTGGATGCTGAAAGCAGCTTCACTAGAGATAAGCTAAAAACCATTGTTTGAAAGGGAAGTAGTAAAGATAGGACATCCCCTATGAAAATGTATAAAAGATATAGTTCTGGGAAATAGAGTAGAACAGCCAGAAGAAGCTTAAATTCTTAGCCACTTAATAAATACTTTGTTTTATAATCCTAAATTTTGTTCTGAGCATACTTTTCTTAACATTATTCAGATTATCTATTGGAGTCACAGCTGAATGTGGCTTTAAGTGGAGCCATGCAAGTGTTTTGTTTTTTGTTTTTGGTAAAGGCAATAGTAGCACTTCATAGTAACCCACCTATGAAAGATGCCACATTTCTACTGAAGTCTGTTCAGCTCTCTACTTTCTGAACCCAACATTTTTATGCGTTGAAATGTACTTAAATTAATTCCATGTTTTTGTTTTTGAGGAATATAACCAGGTTTGGATTACCATCTGCAGGGACATGTTCTCTGGTAGTGAAAGGTCCTCTGCAATGTGGTAAAGGGCATGTTCTTGTCAAAGCTATGCTGTGTAATTTTCTCTATAAATGTCAGTTTTCACAGGGGAAATACAGGGTTGATTATTGCCTACTTCTCTAAATAGTCCAGACAAGAACCTAGCAGTGACATAAATATTTTTAAATATTAAAGACTGCATTTTAGTATTTAGGATAAAGAATATTAAATGCAATTTTGGTTAAGAAATCTTCTGTCAACATATCATGGATAAACTGCAGCTGCTTCGTGTCTTTTATTTATTTGTTCAAACCAATTTAATCCTGTTGTTCAGTTAGAGAAGGCTCCCAGAACAGCTAATAAATATCAGTGATAAGAAAGACCATCCTGGCTTTCAGGCTTACAATCTAAGTCATGATACTATGACATAGTTCACACATAATGCTAAACTAAGGTTCCATCTTGTTTTGGTTTAGTATGATGTGGAAACTCCAGAACACTAGCTTATTTCTTCTGCTGAGAAACCAGGAAAAGAACTTATTCATGGCTTCTTTCTTTGTCTTGTTGTGGGGAAGACAAAGCTATGGGTTCTTACATTACAACTAACCAAACCACAGATGGCTGGTCTGTGGTTTGTTGGAGCTGCTCAAGAGTGATGAGGCAACACCTGCCATGGTGACTGAGCTAGTCCTACATGGGAGGATGGGGAGGAGGGGAAGGGAAAATGCAGAGACTTATTTTTTTATTTAGAAAGTTTTTAAACAGTCAGTTTAAAAGTTTATATATCAGTGTCAATAGAGGCAGGTCAAGGAGAGACAGAAGCAAATGTTCCAGGTATCTCAGCAGACCTGGTACCAACATCCAGATCACAGCCTCTTCTACAATGGAATAATAGCTGCCAGGTAACAGCTGTTGGGGAGAAGAGACTGAAATGGCTGGTTTTCAGCAGATTTAATGGTAACCCTGCATCCCTTGCTCTAAGTCTTGCCTTCCCCAATCAGGCACTCCAAGATATATTTGGTTACAACTTCCATCATTCTCAGCTGTTAAGGCTGCAGTGCCTGACAATACTGGGAGTTGGAGTCCAACACATTTGAAGAGCATGTGAATTAGGGAAGGCTATTGTCTGCAGTATTCATGTTCTCAGTTCAGTACTGTATTTGCTTTTTTCCAGTCCAACTAATATATTCAGTTATAACTGTTAAACAAGGTTTGTCATGTTTTGATAATTTATAAAGTACTTTTAACATTCACAGTTCAACATTTTCAAAAGGGTAGATATGTATTGTGACTGGCATTTGTTAATTATATCTATTAGAAAAGTGAGCTGTCTCTTTTAAGGAGAAAAGAGAGAGAGAGAGACCATCTAAATCTCTTTGTAGCAATCCCTAGTCAATATGTCTAGGAATAGATTAGTTTGGGTCACTGAAAGTAGCTTGTAATTTTAAAAACAAGTTAAATAAAATTCTCAGGTTTAAGCCGCCCCGAGTGGCTTGTTGTAAGCCACCCCGAGGCTTCGGCGAATGGGGCGGCATAAAAATGTTTTAATAAATAAAAAAAAAATAAAAAAATAAACAAAAATCACCAGAAGGTTAAACAGTATGAGAAGTATGATTCAAGGAAAGTATATTGGAAAGGTCTTTGAGTTCCAAGAGTATCTGCTGGAGTGAAGAGGGGAAACACATGTATGAACACATGCATGCACTCA